CCTGTTTCCTCCAGTGCATCCTAGGCTTTGAAGGATATCTCGTGGTTCACAGATTTTAGTAACTCTTTTTTTTTTCTTTTTATTTCGTGAAAGGGAACGAATGCCCTATATCGACTTCAAACTAAACCACACTTTATGCTTTCTTGTTGGGAACGCCCGTTGTCAACAATGGGTTGTTTTTACAGTCTAGACAATGTTGGTGTCATGATGAGAAACAAGGGCTTAGCTATGTGTGTGATGGTATATGTCATTGAGAAAAAGCATTTGGGTTTATTCTAGTAAGCCTCTGATTCGAGGGATATTGCAGCAATGATTATTCCACATTTAAAAAAAATAATTGTATGGGCTGTTCTGTTTTTGAAAACTTACACGTTTTTTCCTCTGTTAAATTGCTTCCTGGTGATGGAAACGTCTGGGATTTTTTTCTATTGCATCTGCTCTCCTTTTTCTTACACACCCCTGAGGTAATTAGTGTAGGTTAAAATTTACATAACTGACTTTGGGGTTTTGCAAATAGGAAAGATGGAAATTTATTCAAGGTGGTGAATAATTCATTTTAAAGCAAGTTTCCTGGTGTGGTTTTTTTTTTTTTTTTTTTTTTTTTAATCATGTAGAAGATGTATTACAGACTCATAGAGGTTTTCTGAATAGGACCCTAAGCATTGAATTTTTGATATATTTTATTTCTTGGTGTAGGTAAAGAAATATTAACCATGACTCATTGCACTTTTCCTGTTCAATAAGATTTGAATAAACTTAACAAATTTATTAGGTAGATGATAGAGCTTTTTGAAAATTTTCATGACACACTGTGACAAATATTTTACGAGGATCCAGAAGAAATAGTTTTAAATCATATTCCCATTGCCACTTCAGAGGCAGAGAGATTGAAAACAGTGCAGTTCATACAGAGAACCCTGATTCATATTTTCTGTTGAATATTCATTATTTAATTAAGATTAGGAAGATAAACAAAGGGATTGGGCAGCTATGGGAGTCTGGTAATATAATCATTAAAAAAAACCAACAAAACCAATCAAAACCAAAAATCCCAGTTCTCTACTTCTGGCTCAGCGTAAGCCATAAGCCTGCACTGGTAATGTTTGACTGTTGTAACGTTATAGCTACTTGATATTTTACATGAAGTGAGTTTTCTATTTCATCTTGTTTCTTAATCTAATGCCTCCCTCAAAAATCACTATCCCAGGCATCACCAAGATCCAGAAGACAAATTATAAACCAAGCCCTCTTCTCACTTTCTAAATTTTAGCCTTAGCTGCCTATTCCAAAACTTTTTAAACCTTGTCCCATCTGCCATCAAGCTCTGGAAACACCTGATGTCTTTCTGATCGGTAGTTTTGTCATTAAACCTTCTCGGGGACTTTGAGCTCTGCTGCTGGGCACCCTTTCAAATGACCCAGCCATGACAGCCTGGTGCCTATGCTTTGCAGGGACGACTACAGTCCTTGCTGCCACTGGGACAGGGTCCCTTATGTCTCAGAGAGCACATCCCTGAGGGGCAGCTGGGGAACAACCTGCCCTTGCTCTTATCATATTCCCCAGTGGCAGCAGTCCTCACTGTGCTATGGAAAGTGGCAGGAAGGGTGGATCCAATTCCCCTAACCAAATGTCTACCAGCTCTGCTGGAGCAGAGCCAGGACTAGAGCCAGCTCCCAGCCCTTCCTGGCAAAGCATTGTCTGTGGTGATTCATTGGGTTGGGGAAAGAAAATTAGTGACAGTATTTGTGGAGGTGGGAAAGAAATGGGTCCTGGTCCTGCTCCAGGGACTCCCAGTGAACATAAGCCAAAAGCTGTTCAGGAGCAGGAGGGCTTGGTTCCCACTAACAGAGGAGAGGTGGTGAAGGGAGAGTTGCCCATGACAAAACTGCCATATGGACAGCTGGAAGGTTGGTCATGTCACCTTCATAGTTGTGTATACGTGATGCTTGACTAGGGCTTGGAGGATTTACTGCATCCATCTGAGGCTCTCTGCTGGGACTACTAACAAATCATAGTGTGTTTTGAGGAGACCATGTTGTATCTGCTTTCATTTTACAGGGTTAAAGAAGTTATGCTAAAAGTTGTTCGCACAGGGTTTTGCAATTTGTTTCTGTAGTATTGTTTTTTTTGTTTTTTTTTTTACTCTGACAATTTTCATTTTGGAAATAAGCAGGAAGCTTTGCCTTAGTCTTCAGCACTGACTCCTAAGCTTGCGTGTAAACAGCCAGATATTTGTCCAAGAAAAGTAGGATTTAGAAGAGAGACTTCAACAACTAGATATGGAACCTCCAATGGAGAAATTTTCTTCACTGACTATTGCATTGTTTGCTTACCACATTTTTTTTTTTTTTTTGGCTTTGAGACTTGATGAGGGTGCCAGTGGAACATAAATTTACACTATTCATATGAGAGTATAGCATATACAGTAGGGCAGCTTCTTGTACCTGGGTAGTGTTGGATGCACATTTTATGCTCATTTCAGGGAAAGCAGTAGAAGATACTGGTACAAGAAATGCCCTTGAATATTCAGTGAGGTCTCTTAATGGTGCAGGTCAGAGAAAATAATTTGCCTTCCTGAGTTTACAGCCTTCAGAATTATTACAGTTTTCACGTTTTGCACAGAGAATGCAGTCTAAAAGATGACCGGCTTCTCAATGGAGTGACTTTTTCAGCTTGCTGTGCAAGAGTAAAACAACTTCAGGCCCTTTAGCTTCATGCTTGACAGCTGCAGAACTTCAGGGGGAGAGGGCTGCTCATGTGGGCTAGCTTCCCACACCTTGCAACCACCAAAAATGCCAGTTCCTTTTACCAATTATCTAAAAACAGTTGTGGTGAGATAAGGCATCAAGGTTTGGAGAAGACTTAAAGTGGAGAAAGTTGTGGGCTCTCTGGTGATCCATCCTTAAGTGTTTTGTGTGTTACATTTTGGTGTGTGTGTACAAACACGCTGGTGTATATACATAGTTTGCGTGTATATGACTGTATTAGGTATGGTAAAAATAAGGACAGTAGGGCAACCATGCACAAATACAGTTTTTACTGATCAAGCTTTTAGAACAAGATTAGAGCTCAATTTCCAGTGGAAATAATGGAGTAAACATGAAAAAATAATGGAATAAAGAACTGTGACTGAAAATTCGTAATTGCTTCTGAAAAACCTTCAAGTGGAAGACCTAAGTCAAACCTTTGGAAAATTGCACATTTATGGCTTTTATTTCCATGTTCTTTTTTTCTGTACATTTGGAAACAAACTGTAATTTTTTTTCTTTTTTCCTTTTATTTTTTCCTTTTTGGCATATTGGTCTCAAAGCACCACAAGGAGGTCTCTCACCAGGAGAAACAAAAGTTGAGAGCCAGGATTCATGAACTCTGTCAAAGGTATGTCAGATAAGGGCTACTTTGTACTTCTATCTAATGTGTTTTCCTTCCAAAAATCTTTTAGTGCTTTACAGATATTAATGAATGGAACTCCTCCCAAACAAAGAACCTCAGGCCTAGAAAAAAATAAGCCTGTGCTTTTGAAAGAAACCTTTGTTTTGGATACCTCCATTTTATGGCTTGGACTGTAATTTTTAAATGCTACAGATAGCACACTTCAAAAAATGAAATGGCTTCTCCCAGCACCATTCATCTCTGCTTCTGAATTACCCTTAGAGAGTGAAGGAAATATGAATTGGAACAGTGTTTTTGTGATCAAGCTATGTGTGACCTTCAGATAAGTACAGGCATCAAATTACCTGTAAAGAAATGAATGGAGGAAATAACCGTTGTGGATACAGCAAAGGAAGCTGTGTTCTGCTATGACAGCCGATGAACATGTTGGTGAGCACAGAAGAGGCTTAACTTCACTGAATAAATTATCCTTTTCAAACTAATACCCAGCAAAAGGAGGGAAAGGAGAAAAATGGTGCAACCTGAAAAGAGATCAAATGCGTTTATTTAAATGTTTGATGTTCAGTAATGAAAACTGTTTACCTTCATAATTGTATATTAGCAGCTAATAAAGGCAATAGATACAGTAGTTTAAAAGTAATAAAATCAACAACAAAGTGTATTTAATTTTAAATTGAATTGCAAGCAAATGGGTGTCCTAATGAACCCCTATGTCAGTGCAGCTCTAAACAAATTAAGTGAAATAATTTCCATCATGAGAAACTAAATAAGTACAAACTTTCCAAACAGACCATTCTTCTTAAGGAAAGAAGTTAACTTCTCAGATGTTTCAGGTCTATGAATTAGATAGTGCCATTCAACAACCGTTACATTCATCTTCTGTTACTTCCATTTAGACCATCTGGATCCTAATTGCTTGACAGCAGCTCAAGGGTAAAACTTCAAAGGTGGCTGACCCTGTGCTTCTTGTATTCAATCCTAAGCACTGGAATCTTGTCCTCAGTTCTCATAGGTCCTGCCTTGTGCAAAGCTTCCATGTATGTCATTGGCTCTAGCATTTACACTGACCTTCTGACTGGTTCACTTATTGTCTGGGCATTTACATGATACAATTGTAATGGTAGAGGAATCAGGAAAGCAGTTTAGTTATGCACCAGTGGTGGTTTCACTGTGCATATATATGTTTCTAAAAATCAAAACCAACAAAATCCAAAAACAACTCATAAGCAAGGTCTGAGTAGAAACTGATTTGTAGCAATGTGCCAGGAACTTGGAGACTGGAGCATCTGTTTCAGAAGACGGGAATTTGAACTATGTGTTACCTAGCTAGCACGCATGCGTGAGCCTGGGATGTTTAGCATGATTGCACTTTCTGTAATTTTCTTGATAAAGAACCATGCTAATTTTGTGGAGGCTTCTCATCACCTAGCATGCAAAGGAGGAAACAGGAATGGAGACACTGGAGTGGAATTTTCCAAAACCAAATACTGAAGGAAAAAATGAAATACTGAAGAAATACCTCAGAAGTTCAGTCTAGGAAAATGATGTTGGTTGTTTCGTTTGTTTGTTTTTGTTTGTTTTGTTTGTTTGTTTGTTTTTAGTACTAGATTTTAACGTTTTCTTTTGTGGCTAAAATCTTAACTGAATATGTGCCTTGGCAACCTAAGAGAGCCTATCCTCTGATTGCCTCTGTAGATGCCCAAGTTAATCCTGAATGGTAAGTGTACCTGATGCAGTGATTTCTCTTTGGTCCCTATGGTTCCTCTCAGTATGCTGGAGGCAGCTCCCTGAATGTCCAGGGTGGCCTATGGCTGCTCCTTGCAGTGAATGGCTTGCTCAGCCTCCAGCTCTTAAGAGCTGCTGTGTCTGTGCTCTGCTACCTGCCCTTTGTCTCCACCTGTGAGAGTGGCTGGAGCACTGTCAGCGTTGGTGTGGCAAACATACCCTCACTAGATTTTTAAAGCAGGTTGTGGAGGCACAGACTGAAGTGTTTTGAGGTCAGCAGAGCATCTGCAGATGTTTTTACCTAGGGCAGTTTCTATTTAGATACTGGTGCTGAGCTGAGATAGAGAAATTGCTCATAGTTCTATGTCTATTGAAGATGGGATGGGATTGCTGAAGCATATGGCTTTACACTGCTTATTGTAAGTGACTTAGTTTTGCATTTGCTCCTGCTGTGATCTAGGGCAAGTTTTTTCACCATACTTTTCCTTCTGTGTACCCTGTGCGCTAGACAGGGCAGCTTTGGGTTACCCAATGTAAGGATGTCCTTATATTATTTGCTGGTGTTCTGTGTTGCCACAGGGACCTCTCTTACAAAAAAAAAAAAAAAAAAAATCTTTGAGTTGATCTAATTACCCCCTAAAATTATTTTAACTAAACAAGAAGTTAACATATAACGGCTTAATGCTTCACATACAGCAGAAAACGTGTGTGTGTGTACACCTATATATCGACTTACATAACTTACATAGGTTTTTTTTTATATATATAAATTAAGATTTTTGGAAGATTTATAAATGATAAAAGATTTATACATAAATTCAGAAGATTTTTGTAAAAGGGAAGATTTTTATGTGTGTATATATATATAAATATTTTTTTTCAGTAGTTTAAAGAAACCCAGTTCTCAAGGAACCAATGGTTTCTAAAAACCTTTTCCAGCTGAAGGTGTCAATGAGTCTTCAAAGGGTCAACAGAAGCAACGGCTTCCTACTTTAGTATTCTTAACCTAGAACCTGAGCCCCAGTGCCAGACAGAGCTGAGAAACTTTAGGTACCTTGTATTGACCTGTGTCACAGACTGACAAACGCCGTTTTATTACTGGGGCTGTGACTGCATTTTTCGTATACCGCTTTTTGAAGCCTAGCCATTTCTCTGCTTTAGTACACCGTTGTTTCTCCTGGGTGCCCTGCAAGGCTTATGATATGTTCAAAGAAAACATCAAACTGTGATATATTTGCAACAGCAAGTGCTTTCTGGGTCTGCAATTGTAGTTTCTTTCATTTGAATAGTTCTTCCCTCTTCTCTAACTGCTGCAGAGTGAGAAGTCAGCTGTTGAAAGCAGAGGGGAATGAAAGTGAAGAAGAAATGGTAGCCAGCTTTGGTAACCTTGCAGTTCTGAATGCTGGATTAAATGTAGCAACAGGACCTTGTAAGAAGGTGAGGTGTTCTTCATGGAATCATAAAGTGCTCTTTTTCCTGATGCAGACTCCTAAATGACTAGATCATTCGCATTGTGTTGTTTTTTCTCTTTTCTTTTTATAGTCTAAGAGGATAGAAATTAGCAGGTTTTCAAATATGCTTCTCAGCAGAAGTAACCATATGCTTAAAGAGAATGTCTAAAGCTATTAATGATGAATCATTTGGGCATGGCTAGAGTTCTTCAAAACAGTTTGTCAGTGCTGGCCAAGCAAAGTCTTTCAGCAGGAGATGAGACAGCTATGCCACCATGCAAATGAGACAGGCTTGAAATATGATGAATCTTCTATCTCCTTTTCCTACTCAACTGACACTCGCTTTGAGGAAGGTTGTAAATGCAAGAGAGATTGTGGTATAATTCCTCAGACTGGCGTTTCTGCCCCCCAGTCACTATTCGATTATCTTCCAAATTGCTGTGTTTCAGAGAGATAAAGATTTTTTATGGCTTGCTGACTTGAAACAACCAGAAGAGCCAGAAAAGAGATGGCTAACCGGCCATGCATAGTAATTCCATTGGTAAATGACAAAATCTTTGTTTGTATGACATTTCCAAAATTACTACAGAAGATGAATCTAAAATACAAAATGTCACATTTGGCATGCAAAACTATCACAATATATTTCAGTATAAAATTCATAGAGGCGTTTAATTTAGAATGTGTTTAATAACGAAGTCTGCCTGCATCAGTAATCCTGCCTTGAGGTTTAAAAAGATTGTCTTATTTATTCACATAATGTTAATTTTTTCATATATGATTCAGAAACCAAAAATATTAAGGTTAAATCTTCATTGTTAATTAAGATTTTTTAATTAAGCTGAAAATAATTGTCATTCAGATTAGTTGTTAAGTATGGTTTGTGTTGAGAAACAAAAGGGAGTTTAACAAATTCATCTGTTTATGTAACTGCTTAATTTAATTCCAGAAGCTTTCTATCTATATGGAAATATGGTATCTCTTCCAAAATAAATCCAAGACAGGATTAAAGAAGAGATTATTAGCTACTGTAGGCTTAAACTGTGAGACTACTAAACCTAGTAGTCAAAGTAGCCATTTGATTCTGAAGTGTGGCATGGGTTCTTGTATCACATTGCACTAAAAGACTACCTAGCACTATGTTTTTTCAAAATACTTGAAGAAATAGATTCCTTAGGAAAAAAGAAATCCCTGTTGATAGCTAAATAATTAGTTATTGCAAAGGAATTTTATCAATTGAATTCAATACTGGGGCCAAGCTGGGACTCCCTGTTCAGTGCCTGACCCTGCAGATTGCATTTGGGCAGAATTGAAGTATCTGCTGGTGTAGTGGGACAGTCCCTACACCTTTACTCAGGCAAGACTTGTAAGGATCCTAGTGCTGTGTCTGTTCCCCTCTGCCAACCACTGTGCTATAAGCTGTGCGTTCAAGGAAAGCACCAGAAAGACAATTCTAATACACAGCACAGCATTTATTCCACACTAAACATTCTGTAACTCAGACAACATCTTGTCAACAGCAAGCAGCAGATGTTTCCTTTTGTCTGGACTTGGAATAAAGGTGCCTGTAGGGAGTTGTTATTAAACTCTACACGTGTTGCACTTTGATTACTATTTTTAAGAGAATCTGATTATATGATAATCGGAAGGTGAAAGTATAGTATGCATATTACACAGCACTAATAGCTTTGGCAAGACTCATAATTAGTATAAAAACATGGCCTGCCCTGTCTTTCTGTGCCTGCAGCCTGTTCACCACATCATGCATTGTGCCTGTCTTACAAAGCATGCTACACTCTTGAAGGTATTGTTTTCCAGTTAATTCTGCCTTATTGTTGCAGACTAATGGCTTCCGGTGTCATACTTCAACAGCTCCGCCTTCCCTCCAAAGATGCCAAATACTACTAATAAATAGTATTTGTATTTTTTTTTAATCTGTCATCTCTGTGACACTTGACCTTCCTAATTGCAGATCCTCAGTTAGAAATAAGTAATTGCAGGTTGAACAAGAAGTATGTTGTCTGCTTTTCAGTAGTTATTTTCTTGAAGAAATTTGTCCTCGCTAATTGTATAGTTAAGTTAGCTCTACCCAGATCAGTAACTCAGAGTCCTTTCCCTAGGTTGACTGCTCCAAGACACCACAGCTGATAGAAATTCACGTCAAATGCCTAAGGGGAGTCAAAGATAAGGTCCCTAAAGGCCACTACACTCTCAAAGTTTCTGTTCTCAGCCGCTTAGGTGGTGATTTGCTGGAGTGGCCCAAAATGAAGGAGCAGCCTCAGGCCAGGACGACGCTGCCTGTTAGTCACAACGGAAACTTCTACAACACTGAAATCTACTTTGAACAAAGTATCCAGACAGTAAGCAACACTTCTTAAATATGCTGTCTTTGCTTTGAAAGTTAAAACACATCTGCTCTTTCTCCTTCAGGCTTATATATTTAATGCATTCCATCATGTTAATAATTTATTTAATAATTTAAGGTGCAATTTAGGAAGGTGCAAATTTTTTCCCCTAGGTTAACCTTCATCACTCACTCTAAAAGTGCCAAATATACACTACATCATATACTGTTGTCAGCTAATTTTAAATTTTACTTTTATTCTCTCTTATCTATGCAGCTTGTCAGCTATGTAATTTGATTTCTGTAAAGTAGCTTTAGAATAATAAATGAACGAGTGGGTGTATATAAACACATGAATGCCCAAATCCTTCTGTGAGTTTTTAGCTCCATTGACCTCCATTTGCCAAAAAAGCAGCATTTGGATTATTTTGGAAGGAACCCAAACACTTGAGGCTCTATTCTGTCTTTTGTGACTGAAGCACACATATTTTCCTGCCTAAGCATGCTGTGCGTGGCAGGATTGTTGTGTGTCAGTTGTTCACTGTTGTAGCTAATGCCTAGTGCTGGTTGAAACAGTGGTCTCAAATAAACTCTCTGGCACATGAAAGCTTCTTTACAGTTTGAAGAACAACCTCCATCTCTCTGTGTGGGTTTTTATTTGTGTGTGTGTGTGTGTGTGTGGGTGGGTGTGTGTGTGTTATGAGACATGGGTAGAATGAGGAGGAGAATCTTTTCAATTTTCAATTATTTATTTTGTAGTATGACCTGAATGACAGATTTCTTCCTCCCCACCTTCTCTTTTGGGGGTGTTGTGTAGATATGGAACGCAAATGCAGTCCCTATCCCAAAGAGCTTTCAGATAAAGCAACTTTAATGTAAGGTATTGATGCTTTCAGTTATTTGGAGATAGGTCATTTCAGCTATTGGGTTTGTGATTTAAAGTGCTGCTAAGTCACGTTTTCTGCTTTTTAATTGTGCACCATGTGAAATGGATAGTGAACTGTGTATGTAAATACATCTGCTGGTATGAAAAGAATCACTTATAGAGGGAGGGAAACTTTGAATGTGACTGTCACATGATGTTAAAACACATACATGTATCTGTTGGAGAAATCACTGAGACTCCTCCAGAAGCAGGACATACGGATCCTGCTTACTGCCTTGAAGACAAAGTGCTGTCATCTTAGACTCCACTGAAAGAAGACTACAGGCAGTACAACTGAATGACTGGCATGCCCTGCTTCTTGCTTTCAGAATCTTGCTTCTTCTGAGTCTTGCCTGCTACTTTTGCTCCTGCCACTTTTCCTCCTGCCTCAAGAACATTCCCTGTTCAAAACTGCATGCCTCTCTTCTCAGTACTAAGCAAGAGCTCGTTCAGATTGACTCATCTTTTATCTAGCTGCTCTCAGATGCAAAAGAACTCCTGTCTTGGGTTTATGGAGTAAGCCCTTGATTTGTGGAGTAAGCGCAAAGTCCACATACTTGTCTTTCTGTTGGTCTCTACTGGGTTGTGTAGACACCTCAGTAACTGCTTAAAGGTGGCTATAAAGCTTCATCCAAAGGTCTGAGAGAAATATTTTGTACTTTTACCACTTTTCCAGAGTTTGTTTTAAAGTCCTTTATGAGTCTCACAGAGGATATTTAAATCAAAAAAACTTCATTTTTAGTCTAGAGAACCAGGGTACTGGTCTCAGGCAAGTCCACTAAAACTGTGGTACCATGTGGAGAAGCTGGATTAAATGATCTTCTGATGATTCCCTGTCTTCACTATGGTATAAAGACAGCAAAATCTTAATGTCATCATTTTAGAGAACCTTCTCCACCAGCTCATTTTGGAGACATAGGTGTTATACCCTTGATGATTCAACCTTTCTGTTCTTCCACCTCGGTATTGGCCCATAACCTTAACGTTTCAAGAGAAACCGTCTATGCTGAGATGAGGAAAATTTCAACTTCAGATGGGTAGCATCTACTTCAAAACTTCATGAAATCTTAGTGCTGAGCTTCAGGTGAACATCTGGGTTTGAACACAATCTTAGACACAGCACTGCTGCCTTGGGATGTATTACATGGGGAAAAATGCAACTACTCACAAATGAAGAATAAGCTTTTGTTTTCATTGGCCAGAATAATGGTAGAAGTTCAGTGTAAATATGGTGAAAATGAAGACATGCACATTTGATATTGAAGGAAAGCTTAGTTTTAACTAATATATTAGAAGAATTGTTCCAGAACACTACATCTTTCCAAAAATAATAACCCTGTCATGTTGGCAAAGTTGATGTCAGCATGGGTTACCTGCTGCGTACAGAAAGTGCTGGTCATGTAAGTTAGATCTGCCTCAGGGCTAGTCTGACTTGCGCACCCGACCTTTCAAAAATGTTTTTTGTTCATTAATCAATGCTCTTTACTCCAGTTTGCCAGCTTCCATTCTTTCCCCTCCTTCGCTGTCTTCCTCTTTAGTTTGTCAACCTACCTCCCCCAATAACCTCTGACTGCTTATTAGACAGCAGCTCCTAGTAGCTCAAGTTAAATTTTATTTGGCTTTCAGTAGGACCAAACAGTCATATGAGTCATTCTTTTACTTGAATTACCCTGGATAAAACACCTATGAATGCTTATGATTGCAATAAAATGCAATTCCTGTTTCAACTGATGCAGGTTTTTTTTTTTTTTTTTAGGAATAGCAATGTCCAGAAGCATGAGCTGAAAGGGACTTGTTTTAGACTGCATTTCAAGGACATATGTTTAGTCTGTGAAAGGGAACTTTAGATTTGGATGGGTTAATGCTGTCTGGTTTAGATAAAGCAAGAGCTGTTTTGAAACTTCACTACGTTATAACACAAACTGAATGTGAACCCAAGATGAGATTAAAAAAACGCAGTAGGTTGACTCAGGCGGTAAAGAAGCTTTGTTATTAAACTTTTCATGTACTCATTTTCCTCAGGTCTGAAATGTAAGTTGAGTAGAGGGTAGGAAAGGAAGTATGTTTACTGTGCATCTAGTAATGCAGTTGCACAATTAGATTGTCCTTGGCAGCACCTGCACAGATAAGTCAACATCATCTTTACACTAGACCAAGGATTTTACTAGTATAATTTCGTTGTTGCTGCTAATGGTAGCTAAGATTCTACTATAGATAAGACTCAAGTAGTCAGTAAACATTTTCGTTTGCGGTGTATTTAAAACAGTGTCTTATTACTTCATAGGATCTTTACTTCTTGTCCTAGGATTGTTTCATGTCCCAGTGTTAGCAGGTGCATGTCACATTTTTCAGCTTAATAATGACTTGAAGAGCACAAACGAGTTGTGGTATGTGAAAATTTAATTTTGTTCAGGAAAAGTGTTTTTGTTTTTTTTTGTTGTCAGTTTTTCTTAGTTCAGCAAACATTAAAATAGTTGTATGAAGCAATTATAAAAGAAAAAATCTTAACTTTTCAAAGTAAAAGTATTCATAGGCTTCAATGGCATGAAAATTGGAGTGTGGCAAAAATATTTCTCTTTTAAAAAATGTCAGTTATCAGAACCAAACTATTTTGCTGTACATGAGTATTTTCATCTAGTAAGAGAAGGAAGTTTTAAGGAGAATGTTTCTATTTCAAGTATCTTCAATAAATTATAAACTTTTCTGAAATGTTTTTCCAGAAAAAATATTGCCTGTTAGGAAGAAAGTTTTGTTCAGAAAGGAAAGCTCGGATAGGAAATCTTTAGCTATTGTGAAAAGCACTGTAAGCCAATGAGATTGCTTGAAAGTGACATTTAAAAAACTTTCATTGAGCTGTCAAGTCACCTGGGATGTCAGTACATCCCTGATTAGGAGAAGCAGAGACAATCATGTCAGTGTGGGGCTTCCCAAGGTACTTTTTAACCCTGGGTCCTGCTGCACCCGTTCAGCATCAGTCCTTATTCTGTGCCAGGCTTCCAGAACTGGCACTTCAGCAAAAAAATAGTGAGCTTCAGAAATATGTGAGCACTGCTGCTACTCTTATTGAACAATGTACCTGGAACTTGGCGTAGCACTAAATCAGTTCATATGCATATAAAACCACTGTTGCTGACAGAACAGTTCACAGATCTGTAGATTTTTAAAGAGTATATCAACTGGTTAATATTTATGTACCAGTGTGGCAAGGTACTCGTAATATTATAACAGTAGCTGGGTACCATTTTGTTTTACTTGAGGGAAATTCAATATGAATAAAACAGCAACTTTTCAAATATGACATTTAATCCACGCATGTAAATCATACCAGAAGATCTATTATTCATTATTAAAAGGGCACCATATTTTTATTACACTGAAAATGAAACACAAATGCTGTGAAAAATTTAGTGCCTTTTCCTGAAGTTTCAGGACACTTATCATGCAGTCATCTAGCAGGGGCTGACACTCATTTTAAAATATAGCTACAAAATTAATAAATTTGAATTCTTTTGCTTGAAAAAGAGGATGTTCTATTTCACTGAATGAGGTGGATTTATTTTTTATTTAAGGCTTCCTAAATACTTAAGATGGCAAAGTACTTTGGTAATGTTCACATTCAGAGTTAGATATATAACGAATAAAGTTCATATCTTTGCTGTTATTAGTCATTTCAGCATTTTCTTCCCTGAAGTGCATTTTGAAAACTACATATAACAGAAACTGATTAACATGACCTACGGTATTAATTCTTAAAATATGATGAAACAAACACTTTCAAGGACCTTATTTTCTGTATGTCAGCAGCTGTCTAAGGACTGTGATGCTTTTAATAATTACAAAACAAGGTATCATTAGGAAAAGTAGAGCACAAACTTTTTTCTCCCACTCCCCTTATTTTATTCTTGAATGAAATGCTGGCATAGATGAACATTTAGCTCTAGGACACTTTATAGGGCATAAGATAAGAGTTTGATACACTATGAAAAAAGATAGGAAGTAATAATGCCTGGCAGTGCCAGAGGACTTTCAAAATGAGAGACACTTAAATTTTGCCTTGATGCAATTATTTGTAGTTGGGTTGATAAGGTGCT